AATTTGTTGCAGCAAAGTTTTGGTGATTTGTTTGTTTATAATTAAATAAATAACTTTTTCTTCTTTTATTTCTTTTATGTTTATTGCTGCAGGTTCTCCATTTAATCCATCAGGTAATAATAAATATACATGAGGTGCAGCAGCAGCACATAAATGCTCCTTTTCTTCCTCTTGCTGCTGCTGCTGCTGCTGTTGCTGCTGCTGCTGCTGCTGCTGCTGCTGCTGCTGCTGCTGCTGCTGCTGCTGCTGCTGCTGCTGCTGCTTAGGGGGGCCCGCACCTGCTGCTGCTTTTGCTGCAGCAGATATGTCACATATTGCTACTGGCAACTCTATACCATGAGTTCTGCATGCAACACAAAACCCTAAACCCTAAACCCTAAACCCTAGACTATGTCCATAGAGTTTTCTGCTGTCGTGCACAAGCAAAAGACCCTCTAGGGTTTATTGTTTAGGGTTTGGGTGATTAGAGTGGGTATTTCCTTCGTTGATTCAGGCAAATTAGGGTTTAGGGTTTAGGGTTTAGGGTTTAGGGTTTAGGGTTTAGGGTTTACCTAAGTAGTGTAGCAATTTCAGCAAATATGCATGCAACAGTATGAGCACTAAATGCAGCAGAATTGAGCAGCAGCAGCAAAACATCAAAAGGTTGCTCAATTAAATTATATAATTGAATAAAAGAAGGAAATAATAAAAAAGGAATTGTTAATTCCTTCTCTATATAACCAGATATTAATGATCTAATACATATATACATACATACACACACACACACACCAATTAGGGTTTAGGGTTTAGGGTTTAGGGTTTGGCGTTTAGGGTTTAGGTTTTGAGTTTTAGGGTTTCGGGATTAGGGTTTAGGGTTTGGGGTTTATTAGGGTTTCGGGATGATGGTTTAGGGTTTAGGGTTTAGGGTTTCGGGATTAGGGTTTAGGGTTTAGGGTTTAGGGTTTCGGGATTAGGGTTTAGGGTTTAGGGTTTAGGGTTTTACAAATGTCTTTGTCTTTGTTCAAGTTGTTTGCAATGATAATGAGCTAAACAAAGAGGTGTTGCTAACATACACCCGAAGAATAACCAAGGGAGTACTGTACACAAACCCTAAACCCTAAACCCTAAACCCTAAACCCTAAATATTTTATATATCATTTTTAAGCAACACTATATATTGGTGAGGAGGAAGAGGATCACCAGACACCCCAATTAAATAATTTATCTGTATATGCAAGTAACTAAGAGACGAATAAGGGTTTAGGGTTTAGGGTTTAGGGTTTAGGGTTTACCTGTAAAAAGTAGCTGATAGCGTTGCTCCTCTTTTGTTAATTTGTGGGGTTCTAAGAGAAGAGTGTTTGGATCACGAGGAGGTAAATAACGATCTACTACTCCTCCTGCATAAACCCTAAACCCTAAACCCTAAACCCTAAACCCTAGAATAGGCACTGTAGGTGTCGTGAACTGTGGATATTCAAAAACGTAGAAATAAGGGCATGAATCTTGCAACAAGAGGCGTGAGGGTTTAGGGTTTAGGGTTTAGGGTTTCAGGGCGAGGGTTTAGGGTTTAGGGTTTAGGGTTTTAACCTGGTAGTGTTAAACCCTTGTTAGTTTGCGATCGTAAGAAATACTCTCGTGCATCTTCTAACGTCTTGGGTACCTACAACACAAACCCTAAACCCTAAACCCTAAACCCTAAACCCCAAACCCTAGAGAAGAATATAAATTAAGGGTTTATTATTATTTTTTTTTTTTGTCTTACTTGCTGAATATCTGTCTGTTTTAATTCCTCTAGGTCAGTCTTCGTATTCACAAGACTTGGGGGCCCCCATGAGGGGCCCCCACTGTACCCTCCTGCTGCTGCATCGGGGGCCCCCTGCGTCTCTGTTGTCTCTTTGCTGCTGTTGCTGCTGCTGCTGTTGCTGCTGCTGCTGTTGCTGCTGCTGCTCCAGAAGCAGCGGATATTCCCTACAGCCAAGTGTACAGACACTTCAGGAGGGCCCCCCGTGGTGTTCCCCCTGGGGGCCCTCTTAGGGGCCCCCCTATGGGGGCCCCTTCGATTGTAGAAGGTGTAAACAGAGCCTGCTGAGGGAGTTACGGTGTATGTACAGCTGAATGGAGCAGCAGCAGCAGCAGCAGCAGCAGCAGCAGAAGAGACGAAGTCCCTTCTAGGGTTTAGGGTTTGGGGTCTAGGGTTTAGAAGATGCAGATGCAGATATACACTGGAGGGTTTATGCTGCAGGGGCCCCCCATAAAGGCGGGGGCCCCTTAGAAGCAGCAGCTGCCTCATGCCTAGCTGCTGCTGCTGCTGCTGCTGCTGCTGCACCCACCCCCCTCCCCCAAGGGTTTAGGGTTTAGGGTTTAGGGTTTATATGTCCTAATAAATATAAAAACAATTAAAAAAAGAAAAATAAAAAAATATAATAAAAAGACAACAAAGGAAGAAACAAACCCTCAGTGTATCGATACCAGGTGTACGTACACCGTAAATCTTCCTTTCTCTTCTTAAATAAATAAATACATCTTTTTCTTCTTTTTCTTCTTTTCTTCCTTTTTCTTCTTTTAATAACAATTAAAATATAATCAATGAGACAAGAGACACCAGAGGGGCCCCACAGAATCCTGGGGGGCCCCCCGGGGGGGCCCCCACCGCCGGTGTTGGCCCCCCAGCAGCAGCTGCTGCTGCAGCGACAGCAGCAGCAAGTTGAAGCAGCAGCAGCAGCAGAATAAACTAAACCCTCAGCAGATATTATTTAGCTGTTATTGCTGCTGCTGTCTTAATATATGATTTGTATAAAGAGGGAGGGTATAAAAGGGTACGGAGTCTTGGGGGCCCCTCAGGGGGCCCTTCTCCATACAGTCCATCTACTTGGTCTAGGGTCTAGGGTTTAGGGTTTAGAAAGTGTTTAATATGTAGGACGGATTGTGTGTGCACTCGTAAGCTGTTTCTGCTGGGCTTGACGGCGCGGGGGTTTAGGGTTTGGGTGTGAGGGTTTGGACTAGGGTTTAGGGTTTAGGGTTTAGGGTTTTAAGAAGGCTTCTTAAAGGGTTTACTCCTTCGTTTGCTTATTGAGGGTTTGTCTACTTATACAGCTGCTGATAAAAGGGTTTAGTGTTTTGCAATTAGGATTTACTTCTAGGGTTTAGGGTTTAGGGTTAGGGTTTATGTTTGGCGGTTAGGGTTTAGGATTTGCAGCTAGGGTTTAGGGTTTGCAGCTAGGGTTTAGGGTTTATGTTAGGGTTTTTCGCTGTTTTCCGAGGTTGCAGCAGCTGCCTCGTTAGTTATCTATCTTGTTAGCTAGCTAGCTAGCTAGCTAGCTAGCTGCCCAGCTAGCTAGCTGCATATATAGCACCATGAGCTATACGCCTGTACCTTATAAGGCAGGGGGATATGCACGTACCTAGCTAGCTAGCTAGCTAGCTAGCTAGCTGCCTCTGGCTTGCTAGATAATTAGGTGGTTAGCTAGCTAGCTAGCCAGGTAGCTAGCTAGGTATTTGGCAACGTAAGGCCAATAGTTTTATTTGGTGCAGGGAGGCAGCTAGCTAGCTAGACAACTCCCTAGCTAGCTAGCCACGTCCTTGTCTTTCTAGCTAGCTAGCAGGCTAGCTAGGTCGGGGGTTGGCTAGATCGTCAGAGATCTTGTAGGGAGCGCCCGTGGTAAGACCCCACAAGTACGGCGGCTGCTGCTGCTGCTGCAGCGAAGGTTGGGGATGTGTTAGTTGTCGTGTCTTTCTTATGTTAGATCTGCGGTGTACGTACACCCCGATTATGTAGTGTATAGGCAGGTAAGAGGAAGGGGGCCCCTAAACCCTTGATAGGAGCTTGTTATCTTAAATAAATACAAACCCTAAACCCTAAACCCTATTTTTCTGTCTAATGGAATAATCGTTTGCTGCTGTTGCTGCAGCAGCAGCAGCAACAACAGCAGCAGACTGTTGGGGCCCCCCCCGTGGCCTGCAAGGGGCCCCTGGCGTTGTTGTTATATAATGTCAGTGTACGTTGAGGGATTGAAATAAAATAAAAATAAAATAAAAATAAATAAAAATAAATAAAAAATAAATAAATTAATTTAATAAAGAGAAGCAAAGAGCTGCAGTGACACCGCAAAAGATGCATTTATATTGAGGTGTACGTACACCCCGATCGCTCCCGTCGCTCATTGGCTTTTTTTTCTTCTTCTTTTGCACTTCTTTTTACCTTCTTTTCTTTTTATTTATATTTATATTATTTAAAATATTAATTGTTAATATAAACCCTAAACCCTAAACCCCAATTTAGCATCCAACAGGCAAAACACGAACGAACAAACTGCGATTGCCTGTATGGCGTTCGGGCGATAAGGGTTTAGGGTTTAGGGTTTAGGGTTTAGGGTTTGTCGTCAATATTGGGGTTTTTACCCCGAATGAAATGGGTTTATTGAAATTATTAAGACCCTCGCTTTTTCCTTCTTCTTCGTCATCTGCTGCTGCAGCAGCAGCAGCAGGGAATTGGGGTGTACATGCATCTTCGGGTGTATATACAGGTCGTCGTTATAGGGATTTTCTCCCCTCTTTCCGTCTATTAAGAAGAAAGAAGAAATTAATTTTTATTAAATATAAAATGCAACAAGAAAGGATTCAAGATGACGAAGAAGTGGAGGCATTAGGTGCATATATTAGTTATGTTGGACAAACCCTAGAAGCTACAAAGGTTAAATATCTATGGGTCAGCAAACCCTAAACCCTAAACCCTAAACCCTAATTCTTTACCACAACAAAGTTCTCAGTACTCCACCGCACCCCACATCCGTCAGCTTTACGTACAATGCAGCAAACCACAGGAGGAAACCCGAATCAACATCATATATACAGTCGAGAAAAAAAAAAAAAAAAAAAAAAAAAAAA